TGGTAGAGGTGAATTATTTCTTCACCAGTGGTCGATTCTTCAAATAAACCAAAGGGGCACCCATTACGAACACACTTTATCCCACCTTCCTAAAAAAATTTTCATAAAACACTTTGAAAGTGTTGCCCAGGACACGAACCTAGACTATCTCCAAGGGTTTTCCAGAGATACGTTGAAAATATTTTTGCTACTTGTCTTAGTGGTTACGAAAATAAAGCCACCTTCTCAATGGCCCCTGTCCTCAAAATGTCGAGTTAATCATTAAAAAGGAAAATAATTCAAGCCTACCCTTCCTTCGTATCTTAATAATTAACTCTGAAAAATGCTACAAGTTTAGCGTTTATCGTAAACCTACTAACAGTGATAAATATTTAAACTTAACTCATATAATCATTGAAATAATAAAAGTTAATTAAGGCCATCTGGCATTTGGGACCAAGTTCAGTTAGTATTCAGAATACAACGATTAAATGTCAGATGGTTATATTATAGGATTTCAACAACCATTGTAGGAGATCAGGGTAAATTGAAGTGCGATACAATAATTTACAACCCCAGCAGGAAGTTTCGCAAACTTCTGCATGAGCATACTAAGGTTTAATACGTACACCTGATCCGTAGGTACTCAATTAACTGACTGCTTCTTATATGGTTGAACTAGGGTAACGTACAAAACCAAGAAATTAAAATTAAGGAACATTATCTTATGAACATTTTTGATGGAAGAACATCTGAGCTTACTACTGAATCGGTTTTCACCGCAGCCGATAAGAAAAACAATACGTGTCACGGGGCCCCGTGTTTTGTCAAAATCACGGCGCTCCCAGTTTACAGCCAGCCACTGAAGCAGGCAATAGCTACATGGCATAATAGCGGCACATGCAATGTACAGATACAAAGCTATGTTACTGCACTGACCCGATCAACCCATGTCTAAAGCACCCAATAATAAACTCGAAGTAGATAATCGAAGGAGGCTGTTTTTTAAAGTAACAGCGATAGGATTTTGCATCCGTGCGTTGCAGAGGCTCAAACGGAATGCAACCACAACCTAATTAAAGAGTTTCGTTAGTTTTATAAGCATGGGAGGTGCGATCAGGAGAGATGAATCCTGAAAGTACTAAAATCAATTTTAATGCTTTTAAAAGTTACCGCATATTCACAAGGAGAGTTAAGAAACTACTTCACTTTATGTTTTGTGAGTACTGCATAAATTACAGTGCATTTCCTCTATGCTAAAAACAATGCTAACCGTGATCCTGGCAAGAAAATGAGATCCGAACATTCTTTTATCTAACGAGATGCGTGATTTGTAGTGGGCACACGCTGAACCAATGAGAAATGTTCCGCTGAACCGGCACAGAAGTCGATGAAGTTCATCCAACGGCGCGTTGACCTATGATAAAAAAATTAAAATATCGAATATATCATAATAAGAATCAGCTATGTTTAAAACTGGGGTACGATTTTAACGGGAAAGTCTTAGAATCGAGGTCCGGTCAAACTGAAATGAGTGTGTCATGGAATGAGCTTAATGGCTGAGCAGAAGAAATCGGAAAGGAAAATTGGAAACCGTTTGGATGCCGGTCGCCAATAAATTTCCATGATTAACAACACCATTTCATGACGTTTATGGAACGTTGTTCCGCTGGCCGTAAATCTGAACTCATATGAAAACGAAATTATCGAATTTGCAAGTTGACATGGGTCAATTACAATGCTAAATTACCTGAACGATTTGCTAAGAGAATTGAACGTATGAAGCTCACATACTCATCGTCCGTGTAACTGACTGTAGGAGCTTTACAGATACAAAAATCCGTTATTAATTAATCAATTATCCAATTAAAATGTTCTATTGCTGACGGAGATCGGATGTTTTCTGAACTCATTAAGTTGACTGTTCTCATGAGGCCACATTACCATTGAGTGGTCGACGTGTGTATCACATCTTTGATATTAAAGTTAAAGCCACTCACTCGACGTGATAACTGTTTCAGACATATTTCTGTAATTATGGAGAACATCAGGTATTCCACTGCGTAAGCTGCCGGTAGGCTGCGCCGTTTTGTCACTGATAGGAATTGGGTTGAGTCCAAGCTAATGTGCATGACTTCCATCAAGTCTGCTCTGGTCGAGGCCGCTGGAAGCGGGATAAGACTTGAACAATGACTAAGTAATCCGTGCCTGACTAACTTTAGTGCATCCGTGGTTGGTGTATTGGTTAACAGAGATCCGACGCCGAAAATGCCCATAAAGGCATGTGGTTCGGTTGGTAGTCCATTATATCTCCTTGAACTCACAACGGTTCTTATGCATCCGTTGTTAGTGGTGCTTTGAATACTGATAAGAATGCTGCTTTAAAATCCGGGTGGGGTAAGCAATGAACTAGAAGCTTGAAATGATCGATCAGAGAAATATGCACATGGAGTTAGGTAATCGGCAAAAATAGATATACTGGTGGCTCTCAATGCTTGATTTTAAGGGCCTGAAAATCATTTTAATCCCATTTATGTCATAGCTGTTCTTTAACTCATAATTTTATTAGTTAGTTTGTAGATCTCCAAAATTTTCACTTCTGGGCTCCTCACGAGACGATGTCGACACT